TAGAAATCAGGTGGATAGCTAGCAGAGCCTTTTACTAAGATGGAGGAAACCAGGAAAGAAGGATTAAGAATTCTGTTGTGGATGTGTTGCCTTTGGCCTGAGTAATAGATCTCCAGGCATAATAAGTGGGCCATTAGATGTATAAACCCAGAATTCCAGAATATGTCAAGACTAGAGTAATGGATTGTGAGTTACTGGCTTTAGTAAGACAGGCCAGATACCAAACAGAATTTAGGTACTGTCACTTTATGAACACTGTAAGCTTCAACTGTTTGAATAGTATGTGTGTGGGTTTTTCTTAATTTGTAAAAGAATAATTATGCTGAATACTAAATTTCATTTATCTCCATGTCTGTGAGTTTAAGACTATTTAGTCTTAAAGGAGGTAAGTAGTGGTCATGGGAAAAATGCTTGTATTGAGGGTCTGGACTCTGAATGCTCTAGAGCAGGGGTTGGCGAATGATGGCCATCAGGCCAAATGCAGCCTGCCATCTATTTTTGCAAATAAGGTTTTATTGGAACAGAGCCAAGCTCATTTATTTATGTATCATCTGTGGCTGCTTTTGTGTTATGAGAGCAGAGCTGAGTAGTCAAGATGGAGGCTCGCACGGCCTGCAATGCTTGATATATTTACTCTCTGGCCTTTTTTAGAAAAGTTTGCTTCTGCTTTAGAGTTTAGACCAGCTTTGTCCAGTAGAACTTTATGATGATGAAAATGTTCTCCATCTGCACTATCCAGTGCAGTAGTCTCTAGCCACAAGTGGCCAGTGAGCTCTTGGTATCTGTCTAGTGCCAACTAGCTGAGGAACTGGATTTTTAGATTGCTTTAATTATAATTAAAACAAATTTAAACTTAAATAGACAAATGTGGCTAGTGGCAACTGTATTGGACAGTGCAGATATAGCTGGTGTATGAAAGAAATGTCAGGATGTTCAGAATCACTCTTCCGTTGGCAGCCCTATCTCAAAAATTTGACTTAGGGCACAGGGAGGAAGGGCAAAACATGTACTGAACACCAGTGATGTGATAGAAGCTTTCTTATGCATTATTTCACTAAATTACACAAGAATCCTTTGAAATAGATAATAATGTTCTCATTTTTTAGATGAGGAAGTTAAAACTCAAAGAGATAAAGTATAACAAGTGGCTATTTTGAATGTAAATCCTTTTAGTATAGTAGGGTTGTCGCTTCCATCTCAAGATGTCTTTTATGACTGTGGTTTTGCTTTATATTCTACCTCTTATTACAGGGAGATCACGATTTTTGGTACTCATCTCAAGATACCGTCCTTTTTTACATGAGAAAGATATAGGTGTTTTAGGGGCTAGTTGAAGTGAGGGAAGGGAAGGATGTTTTTTAGTTTCTTAGGCTAAGTTTACTTCAAAATTATTTAAATTTTATTTCTTCACGTGTATCCAGTGGCTTCTGATGGAATACCATCTTATTTTTGTATTAGGAAATGCACTCACTATGCCCCAACTGGGTGATAATACATGGGTTGACTATTGAGATTGGATCAAGGTTACTCTTAAGTTTCTCACGAGAGGCAATAGTTGACAATTTACTCCCTTGGAGAGTGCCTCTTGCTGTTGGGAAATCCCTGTTGTTACATTTTCTGCATTGGCTCAGAAATCCACAAGCTTAAAAGGGCACTGTTGATAATAATAAGCCCCAAATTTGTCCAGTGATCTCCCCCACTCTCCTAATCCATTGTATTTTAAGGGCAATGGTTTTCTTTAGCTGGATTTTTAATGGGGAGTTTAAACACAATTTTTATCTTTCTGTTATATAAAATATAACAATAACAAATCTTTAATAAATGAACTATAAAAAACCCCTGTTCTCTCCATTAAAAAACAAAGAATTTCAGACAAATCTAGAACTACTTGTATGTGATTTAAATTCTTGGTTTCTGCTTTGTTCTTTTCTCTTTTCGCTTTGCTCTTTCCCTCAAATAAGATAGATAAAACTCTGGAAAGTAGGCCTTTAAAGTGATATGAGGCTACTGAGACATAATAATTACACAGTTTCTCCCAGGAAATCTTATTCTAGGAGAAGATCCAAAGTCACTTACAAATATTAATTCCTAAAATAAAAATGATTGTTGAAGTATTAGTGATAATTGTTAGCACTGGTGTGTGGAAGTAGCCTATGGGATAATCTTTCCTTGGGTTTGCTGGTTTTTCCCGTATATACTATTGAGTCTTTGTGATTTTTCAAGCGTCTCATAATTATTAAAGAGGTAGGAAGAGTGAAGTGAAAATGAGAGCCAGTTTGCTGAGATTTTGGACTACCTTTGTAACTTATTAAGCTAGTATTTTTTTGTGACAAGATAGAGTGAGCCAGATAATGTAGTAACCTGCAGATCTTAAAAGTTCTTTGCTTTTATCCTTATGGGATAAATTAGATTAAGGTTCAAGTGGAAATTAATGAGAAGGAAACCTGGTAGCATGCCATTACAAAAGATTATAAAATTTTATATTTGGATATGGATTAAATCACAGCCTGGGGAAGCCTTGAAGCCCCCTTTTCCTTTTTATTTTTAAGTCTGTTTTGTGTTTGCTCACTTTTGTTGGAATCGTGCAGGTTTGACTCTAGTGACCTAATAATTTCTGTAATCAGATGTATTATGGCTCCTAGAATACTCAGAGTAATTACTAATTGTACTTTTAAAAACAGGTGTGTAATAAAAGTGCTAATAGTTGTGTCAAATGGGCATCAATATTGTCTTTTCACAGGTGTGATCTTTCACACTTAAACTCTTCCATGATCTTGAATTGCTCGGTGATAGAGGAATGAGCTAATGGGTAAGGAATTGTATGAGAGATCTCACAGTGTGCAAGTTATTTAAAAGCAATGAAGTCAGTGTTTTAGAGAAGTACTATGTGAATCTATACAAATATCATCTGTATTTGTGTTAGTTCTCAATGCATGTGTAGAGAGGCGTAAAAAAAGAAATTGGGCAAGCATATGGCACTGAGTGGACATGTATTTTTAAACCATGAAAAAAAGGGGTATCAGTTGTCAAATGTCTGATGTGGTAATTGAAGTGATTGTTCACTAGATGGCGATAGACACCCTGAGATCATTAATCAATTAAGGATTTTATTCTGTGAACAATAGTGAAGGTAATTTAATGGGTTAAATCTGTCCACATTTTAGACTTTTATTAGTTTTGGAACTATTAAAGAAAAGCTAAAACTGGCCCAAAGGATTGTAATACTCTAGTGTTTAAAATAGTGATGATTTTTTAATCATTAGTTATATTGATGGTAACAGTAATTTAATTTATCATAGCAAGTTAATTATATGAAGTAGCTAAATTCTGATTTCTGGCCATGGATACACAATACGTGACTTCCTCAGTCACATTATCAGAAGCTAATCTAAAGGGAATTGGAAATGATTTTGATATATAATTTTGCCTTTTTGAATTTGTTGTTTTTTTATTGAGAATTTTTTTTTCTTTCAGAAGCAGGGTCTCACTTTGTTTTCCAGGCTGGAGTGCAGTGGTGTGATCATTGTTCACTGCAGCCTTGAATTCCTGGATTCAAGTGATCTTCTCGCCTCAGCCTCCATAGTAGCTAGGACTACAGGCATATGCCACCACACCTGGCTTATTTATTTTTACTTTTTGTAGAGATGGAGTCTTGCTGTATTGCTCAGGCTGGTCTCCAACTCCTGGCCTCAAGGGATCCTCCCACCTTAGCCTTGCAAAGCTGTAGCGTTATAGGTGTGAGCCACTGTGCCTGGCTTTGAGGAATTTAAAACTGACTGTGTACTTATAAACGTACTCATTGCATAACTTTAGTTTAGTGGGAATATTTGTCTTGATAGAATAATTAGTACTTATTGACATTAGTATTGCTTTATTTCTCTCTTATTTCTGTGTCCTTGTGAAAACCATTTTTGGTCTGGATTTTTTAATTGCATTTTAAATTGTGTGCTCTGACATTTAGGTATAGAGTTCATGCATTTTCATTCTCCTACCTTACAGGCTGAAATGAGTCTTTGCCAGCCTGCTTGCCAATTGGTCATAGACTGCCTGGCTTTGAGTTGTTTGGAACTGGAATTTGTGCATTTAAAAAGTGTATCCAAATCATTAATGCAAACATTACAATCTTGGCAAGACTTTCTGGGATTTTCTTGGTGATATGGTAGCATCTATCAAGATCTCTTGGGAATGACACTAGCACAAAGGGCTCTAGCCTTTGTTGGTGTTGGTGATGGAGAATGAGTGATTGCGAAGAATTTTACAATTAAATACTAAGGAAGTCTTTGATCTTTACCTGTAAATAAGCAAAAATTTTACTTTTGCAATTTCTTTTCTTAAAAATAGCTTAGTTTTTCTTTAAATAATTAAAGGCAGTAAAATACTGTAGAGACAACTAAAGACCATTTCCTCCCCATCCTCTCTCATTTCGTTTTCTTTTTCA